AATATTTTCCAGTCTGAGAAACAAAAAAAGGAGATGAACAGAGCTTATGAGACCTATGTGACACTACCAAGTGTACCACATATGTACAATAGGAATCTCAGAAGGAGAGAGAAAAGGGGACAGAAAGAATATTTGAAGAGATAATGGCTCAAAACTTTCCAAATTTAATGAAATATATGAAGCTACCCATCCAGGAAGCTAAATAACTCCAATAGGATAAACTCAAAGAGACCCACACTGAGATACATTATAATCAAACTGTCAAAAGCTAAAGACGGTGAATCTTGAAAACAGGAAGAGAGAAGCAACTTTTCACACACAAACTATACACAATAGGATTAACAACCAGTTTCTCATCAGATACCATGAAGGCCAGAAGGCTGTGGGATGACATATTTAAAGTGCTGAAAGAAAAATAAAATTGTCAACCAAGAATTCTGTACCTGCAAAATTATCCTTCAGAAGTGAAAGAGATAGATATTAAGCCATTCCCAGATAAACAAAAGCGGAGGAGTTTGTTGCTAGTAGATCTACCCTACAAAAAATGCTAAAAGTTATACTTAAGGCTGAAAAGAAAGGACACTAGATAGTAACTTGAAGCTATATTGAGAAATAACACCAGTACCAGTAACAACATAGATAAATATAAAAGCCAGTATTATTTGTGGTTTATAACAGTCCTATCTATCCCTCTGTAATTTGAAAGACAAATGCATGAAACAGTAATTATCAGTCTATGTTAATGGGCACACTGTATAAAAATGTAATTTGCAAAAATAACATAAAGGGAAATGGAACTCTACAAGAACAGAGTTTTTTAATACTATTGAAGCTAAGTTGGTATTTATACAAACTAGGTTGCTGTAAATTTAATGTTAATTGTAATCTGCAGAGTGGCCACTAAGAAAATAACTAGGTATCGTTCCATTTATATGAAATATCCAAAAAATATGAATCCATAAAGATGGAAAGCAAATTAGTGATTTCCAGGAGCTAGAGGGAGGGGGCAGTGGGATGTGACTGCTTAATGGATAAGGGGTTTCCTTCCAAATGGGGTTATGAAAATGTTCTGGAACTAGGTAGTGGTGATGGTTACATAACATTGTGATTGTACTTAATACCACCAAATGTTACACTTCAAAATGGTTCCGTGGTAAATTTTATGTTATGTACATTTTATCACAGTTTTTAAAAATTATAAAAATGTAAGCAGTGTGATACTGGCATAAGAATAGACACAAGGATCAATGGAATGAAATTGAGAGTCCAGAAATAAACCCACATATATATGGTCAATTTATTTTCATCAAGGGTGCCAAGACCATTCAGTGGTGAAAGAATAATCTTTTCAACAAATGGTAGGGTGTCAACTGGATATCACATGCAAAATAGTGAAGTTGGACCCCTACCTCTCATTAATAGAAAAATTAACTCAGAATAGATCAATGACCTGAATATAAAAGCTGAAACTACAAAACTTTTAGAGAAACAGGGGTGAATCTTCATGATCTTGGATTTGGTGATGGAGTCTTAGATACGACATCAAAAGCACAAGCAATAAGAGAAAAAAATAGACAAATAGAACTTCATCAATATTTAAAATTTCTGTACACCAAAGGGCATTATCAGGAGAGTGAAAAGGCAATGAATAGAATGAGAGAACATATTTGCAAACCCTATATCTGATATGTTTAGTGTATAGGATATATTGATATAAAGAAACTTACAAAACTCAACAACAGAAAGACAAATAACCCAACTCAAAAATGGGCAAATGGGGGCTTCCCTGGTGGCGCAGTGGTTGAGGGTCTGCCTGCAGATGCAGGGGACGTGGGTTCGTGCCACGGTCTGGGAAGATCCCACATGCCATGGAGCGGCTGGGCCTGTGAGCCATGGCCCTTGAGCCTGCGCGTCCGGAGCCTGTGCTCCGCAGCGGGAGAGGCCACAACAGTGAGAGGCCCGCGTACCACAAAAGAAAAGGACAAATGATCTCCAAAGAAGATAATACAGATGGCCAACAGACACATGAAAAGACGTTCAGCCTCATTAGGCACTAGGAAAATGTAAATCAAACCTTAATAACATACCATTTCACACTCACTAGGATGGATATAATTTTTAAAAAAAAGAAAGAAAAAGAAAATTGAGGATGTGGAGAAATTGGAACCCATTTACATTGCTGGTATTAATGCAAAACAGTGTAGCCGCTGTGGAAAACAGTTTGGCCATTCTCAAAAACTTAAACATAGAGGTATGATACAACTCAGCAATTCCACTCCCAGGTATATACCCAAAAAAACTGAAAGCTGATAGTCAAACAAATACTTGTACATGAATGTACATGGTAGCACTATTCACAATAGCCAAAAGGTGGAAGCAACCCAAATATCCTTCAGTGGATGAATGGATAAACAATATGTGGTATATATACAATGGAATATTATTTGGCCATAAAAAGGAATGAAGTACTGATTGATGCTGCAACATGGATGAACCTACAAAATATGATACGTGAAAGAAGCCAAACCCAAAAGGCCCACACATTTTATGGTTAAATGGTTAAAATGGTGAATTTTATGTCATGTGAATTTTACCACAATCAAAAATAATAATAAGCCTCCAAAGGAAAAAGTAAAGATGGGCATAAACCTTCAAAGGAAAAAATAAAGATGGGTAAAGAAAGCTGTTTTAGATTGATAGAGATTAAAAAGATATGACAACTAAATGCCATTTATGATTGTGGACTACATCCTGGACTGGGGGGAAGATAGCTGTAAAGGAAATTATTGGGACAGTTCACTAAATTTGATAATAGACTGTGGATTAGATAATAGCATGTATCAGTATTAAATATCCTGGTTTTATGAAATGTATACTGTAATATGTAAGAGAATGTCTTTGTTCATAGGAAATATATACTGAAGTATTTAAGTGTAAAGGGGCATATGTCTCCAACTTTCAATATGGTGTAAAAGAAAATATGTATCTACATAAAATGAAAAGCAAATAGGGTGGTAACATAAACTGTTGGTGATTCTGAGTAAAAAGCGTATGAGTGTTCCTTATATGGATCTTTCCACTTTTATGAGTTTGAAAGTATAGCAAAATAAAAAGTTGTGGACAAACTTGGATTTTTCTTTTTATCTTCTGAGCAACAGCATAGTCCAGATGGTTCTTAGAAAAATAATGTTAGATATGCTTTTTTGGCTTATCTGCCTCATTTCAGTTTGTCCTTAGACTTTTGACTGTTTCTCGACTTCTGGATCGCAATATATTATTTATTTTATTTGCTTATAGCAGTCTCTCTGTAAGATTATTATATAATTAATATGGGTTACTGAGCTTCTATACAAATTTATTCTGGCTAGTAATGGTATGCCTTTGACAGCCTGTTCTCATTTTGTGTATTTTTTCTTATTCACTTGCTTTACTTTTGCAGTATCTTGGATAATGTTAAAAATGTAAATGTAGATATGAGATCTAACCTTAATTGAACATATTGGACTGTGGGCTCATTTTTGGTTTTGGCTCAAAGACGTAATCTCTAAATTCTGTCAGGCCGGACCAGGTTTTCTGCCCATCACAAATGAGTCAGAAGCACTTTCCTAAGTAGAAACTGCCATCAAAACCTCTTACCACTTTGCAGGCATTCAACTATGGATTTTTGCCTGTCCATGGTTAGTTTCCTATTACAAGCAGATATCCAGTAGAGGCTATTTTGAGTGGGTTTACTAAGAAGATCATAATAATTCATTTGGTACTTGTGTCTTCAATTGGTTAACCAGTTTTCTTTCCTTTGTGGTGTATGATGGGACCTTCACTAGACAGAGGTAACCTATTGGATAGTTGTGTACCTGGATGGTGGTGTGGTGGTGCTTGTTGGTTTAATTTTCATGATACTCCTCCCAAGGTTATGCTTGCAGTGCTGCTTCTTATTTTGTGCTTGCATGATATTATTACTTTGATTGTGCTTTGTTGGTTTGGGTTTTTAAAACCTCCTATTTCTTTTTTTGGTACCCAGAATAATTCCTGAAATTTCTTTGGTTGGTCCAGAACTTATGGAAATGTGTTTCATGTCTAACTCTTTGGTGGATCCTTTTCAGTTTTTGAAAGTATCTTCAATGTCACCACTAAGTTTATGGTTTGGTAGCAAGTCAGAAAACAGGGTAAGTTTCCTTAAACACCCAGGAAGAGACTGCTTCCCAGATAGACCATTACTGAACCTGAGAATTAACTCTCTTTGTGAGCCTTATAGATTAAAGAAAATAAATACATACTTAGAGTAAAAGCTAAGTTTTGGGAAAGTTTCTTCAAATAGCTGAAATTTAGGAGCCTCCACCAAGGTCACAGTAAATATAATTAAATTAACTCATGCCTAAAGTTTAGTGTGTGTTTGACTTGACGTTATATTTCAGAGACGCTGTTTAGTTTGTAAACTCTTCTACATTCCCAAACTAAGGTTCTTGGGGTTCATAAGGTAAAAGTTAAAATTAGTATTTCAGAAATTAGTTTTCTGAGCATTTGTGTGGGTGTTTACAATAGTTGCTTACCTCTTCATTTCTCATTACTAGTTGTATAGTTTCTCTTGGGCATTTAGAACTGATTTTATTTTAGTTTTTCTTTTTTTTTTTTTTCTCTACCTTATATACCTCTATAGAAAAAGGTAGATTGTTTTTCAAACTAAGAGATAAAACCAGTCCTGAAGTGGGCCTGTTATATGTTAAATGGCAGGAGTTCATAAAATTGAAAATTTTATTCCATTGTTCACATTAAACCAGTGTTCAAACAAACAAACAAACAAACAAAATCATCTCTTTTCTTATAATTTTAATCATCTTAAAAACTGTAAAGGATCCATTAATTTGGAATGGCCATCAGAGAAGTGCTTATGATAAATAGCATAAAACTGTCAGGTAAATGGTGATTCATCTCTAACTATTTATATTCTCATTCTGTTATATCTTCTTTTTATCTTTTGGTGGAACCCATACATTCAATAGAAAATTGCCCAGGAACGAGAAAAATTTGCTGATGAAGGCAGTATATTTTACACCCTTGGAGAATGTGGACTCATATCCTTTTCAGACTACATTTTCCTTACGACTGTTCTTTCTAGTAAGTATAAACTTTTCTTTTTATTCATTTATAGGGAATATATAGGACTGTAAAAAGAGTTAAGTCGATTGGAGGGGGAAACAAGGCATGTTTGCAAAGTTAATGAATGATAAGTTACATCAAATTTCATTTCTTTTGAGTTCTCTGTAACTTGTATATAGAACCACCTGAGAAAGAGGAAGGAAAATAAAGTTAAAAGGTAAAGTTAAAAGAAAAAGAAAGAACAAAACTGTGAAGTCACATCTACTTTTAACTGTTTGAAGCTCAAGATAAATTATATATTGCCTGCTCCTCTAGCCCTAATTAATGTTTAGACTTCCTCAGTAAAACACATATTGATCTAGTATTTCCTCTACTAAAGAAGAGGATTGGCTCGGTTGTTCTAATTGTGTTCAATATTGATTTTTCAACCTTGGAAGATAACTTCTTAAAACACAGAACTCAAATTTGACTCATTTAGAGCACTGATGAATTTCTAATTTTTCTAAGCTAAACAATTTTGTTGATTAGTATGCTACTATGAGTGTTCTTAGTATTATTTTCCTTTAGTGTGACTTTTTTTAACCATTCAGAAAAAAAAAAAAAGTATGTCTCTAGCTCTCTGTGTACATTCTATTAAAATCTACCTAAATTGATCCAAAGAGATCTGATTTATATATTTCAAAGAAGTGATTCTCAATTTTTTTCCATGGGGGAACATATCAAACAAAAATAACCATATCTTCCTTCCCTTCTCCAGGCTAGGCATCTATAAAGATAAAACTATAAACAGTTTTCCAAACTTATGGTTACCAGGGGGGAAGGGGTGGGGAGGGATAAATTGGGAGATTGGGATTGACATATACACACTATTATATATAAAAGAGATAACTAATAAGAACCTACTGTATAGCATAGGGAACTCTTCTCAGTACTCTGTAATGACCTATATGAGAAAAGAATTTAGAAAAGAGTGGATATATGCATATGTGTAACTGATTCACTTTGCTGTGCAGCAAAATTAACACAGCATTGTAAATCAACTATACTCCAATAAAAATTTTTTTAAAAACTATAAACAGTTTTCAAGAAATGATGTACACGGTTCCTGCGATAGCTATGACTACTCTTCACTCTTCTTCCCTCCAACTGACAGAAAAATGAAGAAATATAGACTAATAGGCCTTACCACAGCTGTCTTGGGCTACCAGAGTATCTGAATAAATTTGTAGTGGACCACTGCTCTAGCAACGTAGATGTGCATTGACTTGTTATGAAGATCCAAGATAGTAAACTAAGAGCACTTTTTTGATCTTAAATTGTGTATTATTAGTTATTATTTTGGTGTGTTTTCAAAACAGACTTCAGTTCAAATTCTGGTCCCACCACTTCTTACCTGTGATTAAGTGTCAGGAGAACCACAGCAGAATCTTCAGAATGCTCTGCACACTGTGTAGCTCCATAAATTTAGGTTAAAAAAAAAAAGGTCACATTGACCTGTGAGTTCTGGAAACCCCTCCAAGTAGCTCCTACAGGTCTGGGTGCCTTTACTTACTGGTGCTCAGCTCCTGGCTCACCATGGTGAGTAATTTACCAAAAAATGCTTAATATTACAATATCATGTACTTTCTACATTTGTCAGGAATGAGAAAATTATGATGATAAGATTTTAAGATTTTCTCTTTATCACTAGTTTTAAGCCTTTTGATTATTATTTGCTTTTAGTATTTCTCAACCTTAGCACTACTGATGTTTTAGGCAGGATAATTCATTGTTGTGAGGGCTGTCCTGTGCATTATAGGATGTTTAGCAGCATTCCTGGCTGCTAAACATCCCGTTAGATGTCAGTCACACACACTCTTCCCCTCCCAGTTGCAACAAACAAAAATGTCTTCAGAAATTGTCAAATGTCCCCAGGGGAGTAGGAATGGGGAGGAATAATCCCTGGTTGAGAACCACAGATGTAGTTTTTATAGCAGGGTTGTTTGGTTTGGGTATTATTATTCTGTACCTCAAAATAGTGTTCTTTATGTTTCTTGTCTTGGGATTCTTTGAGTTTTGGGGTCTGTGGGTTTAATCATTTTCATCAAATTTGGAAAAATTCCAACTGTTATTTCATCAAATACTTTGCTTCCTCATCCTCTCCTTTGAGGACTGCAATTACACATATATTTTCCTCATATCAACCCTATAATGTTTGTAGTTTATTATCTTCATTTTGAAATTGAGGCATACAAAAGATAAAAGAACTTGCCTCAAGTCCCACAGTAAGTAGATGATTCAGGGTTTGAACCCAGGCCATCCCATCATATGGGCTCCTGTCACTTGGCTTTACTGCTGTGGTCACATTTTCAGCAGTGATAAGCCATAGCTTACCATAGTGCCTCTTCTTTCTCTAAGGCTGGGCTGTGGAAAGGCTGGTCATAAAACTCTCCTGTAGATAATGGGCAGTTCAAGCATCCTTGCAATCTGAATGTTGTACACTGCATTGTTTACTTTATTTAACAAGACATGGAAGAAAATATGCCACAGAAATTACATTGAGCCAAGTTATTTCCCACATTCTAATTGCTGCTAGGACAATAAGAAATGAGGCACTCAGTGGATCAACTTCTTTGTGGATAACAAGGAATCATTACATCTAAATAACACTAAATTGTTCCCAGGTTGTCCTGCAAGAAGGAATGCAGTTCTTTAAACACGAAAAGCTTTGCTAGGTAGTGGCTTGGGACTAGGGGAAGTGCATTAGCATGTTTATTCATCTGTAACTCTGGTGGACAACATGGGCCGTTCTTGAGATTTCCAGTGGAAAACCAGCCACAGCAACGTGAACAGCATAACCCAGATAATGCAAGACTGTTGTATTTCTAATTAGCTGGGGTTTTTTTCAAAATTAATAGACTCAGTGATGTTCAAGAAATTGTCATCATTTTGAAGAATATAAACACTCTGCCCAAATGGATTGACACTTGGAACCTCTCAGTACTTTAGAAACTCTACCATGTTGTCTAAAATAAAATTCGACAACCTTATATAGTAAATTATTTGTTTTCTCTCTTTCGATTCATGATTCGTCTCCTAAAAATTAAGAAAGCTGCTTTACTGGGACTTCCCTGGTGGTCCAGGGGCTAAGACTCCGTGATCCCATTGCAGGGGGCCCGAGTTTGATCCCTGGTCAGGGAACTAGGTCCCACATGCCGCAACTAAGAGTTCACACGCCACAACTAAATATCCTGCACACGGCAACGAAGATCCCATGTGCTGCAACTAAGACCTGGTGCAGCCAAATAAATATTTTTAAAAAGGAAAAAAAAAAGGAAAGCTGCTTTACTAAAAATGCATGTTATGCAGTATAATTTCCTGCATTAAATAGAGTTAATTCTTCCTACTTAAACTTTTTAGAAGTTTCATTTTTTTAGCTAAACAAGAATTTTTTGGACACACCCAGAATAACAACCAATTTGGCAGCAATACCTTGTGCTTACAGTAAGCAGTGGCATAAATTTCCCACTCTTCTTTGTATGTGCTTTGGATAATGGGGGCCTTCTTTGGGCAGCCTAAAATTTTAAATACCTTTTATTGTGTCATACACACACACTTATGCATACACATCTCCTAAATCCCTTTTTTGCTTTCTTTTTACTCCTTGGCACTTGTCACTATTTAAGAGTTTATATAATTGATTTCTTTTTTTTTTAAATTATGTAAGTTTCAGGTGTACAACATTATAATTCAACATCTTGCATACACTACAAAGTGATCACCATCACAAGTCTAGTTACCATCCATCACCATACAGTTAACCCCCTTCACCCATTTTGCCTACCCATCAACCCCCTTCCCCTCTGGTAACCACTAATATATTCTCTATGAGTTTGTTTCTGCTTTATTTTGTTTCTTCATTTGTTTTTTTTAGATTCCATGTGTGAAGGAAATCATATGGTATTTGTCTTTCTCCATCTGACTTAACTTCACTTAGCATAATACCCTCAAGGTCCATCCAGGTTGGACAAGTGGCAAGATTTCATCCTTTTTATGGCTGAATAATGTTCCATTATATTTATATGTATACCACATCTTCTTTATCCAGTCATCCATTGATGGACACTTAGGTAGTTTCCATGGCATGGCTTTGTAAATAATGCTACCTTGAACATAGGGACGCCTATATCTTTGCAAATTAGTATTTTTGTGTTCTTCGGATAACTACCCAGAAGTGGATAATTGATTTATCTTCTTTACTCTCCATCTTCCTACCTAGAATATAACTGCCTGACAGTGATCATAGGTTTGTAATGATATTCGCTACAAATTTGTAATGACATTCACCACAAACATATCTACTGTATAAAAAGCATTGTGACAAAGGAACAAAGCAAAAATTTTTTTCCCAATTTTCTCAAAAGGAAATTTATCAAACATGAGATTTGACTTTGCTGTTTATATCCTGAATTGAGAGTCGTTCTTTTAGCCATTGATGTCCTCAATCTGCATTCAGTACCAATGGAGTGAAGGAAACATGTTTTTAAATTAATCTACTTCTAAATAAGCTTTCTTATAAGAAGTATATATACTTTCTAATAACTACAAGTTTTCTTATAATTCAGAATTCACATATTTGTATCCCCCTCTTACCCTAATCCATAAATTCTATTGCTTCATACCTTATCTCTCTGATCAGGTTTGAAGGATTAACTTGAAGAGTTGTCAACATGAGCCATAGCATCTGTATTAAGTAGAATGTTAAGTATTTACTAAATAACTACTCATTAATAAAATAAATTCAGATTCATTCTAGGCAAGATAAAGAGACTGTTAATAATAATTATTATTAAATAATTTCCAAAGAGCCTTTGATCCTTAAAGTAGGTTAATAGGAATTGAATGAGAACACAGAAGCATGGCTTAGTTCTCTGCACTAACCAGCTACAACATTAGCGATGGTCTTAAATCTTATAGTTGAAGTCAGAGATTTTTCTCCACAACTAGGTACAGAGAAAGGTTGTCAAGGTTTATCTTGA